TTAGTTAAAATTGTATAATTTATTTTCCACGATACACCGAAACATTAAATAACATGACCATGTAAAAAACAGGGCCTTGTACAGTGGCCCCAAAATATTAAAAACACTGCAGTGCTAAACCAACGTGATAACACAAAACCGACATCACAAATGAAATAAATCCAGCTAAAGAATATAAAAACTAGAACAATCATTTAGCACTTATCACCTTATAATTTGGAAACATCACCTTCATTGCTTTGTGCCCCAAAATAAGATCGGGCATGGCATAATAAAAATAATATTCAACGGGTGTTTTCCATGTCAGGTTGTTGTAACGGACGAAAAGCTGCATAATTAACCAAATTAATCTTCACAAAATATATGCATCTGGAAGTAGAGAGTAAAGAAAAGGAGACATGACAAGCTAACAACAAACTGCAAGGATAGGTGAATTTATAGATCTCAATGGCGGCAAGATAGTATGTATTGCAATGTCTGGAAAATGAAACAACAATCTACAAGGAAATGAGAAAAACTGAACGAGAATGAATGAACTATGAGTGAAGTGAGTACAAATAGCTGTCAGATATATATGACATAGCTGTTGTAGGCTATAGTGGGGTAGCACATATGGGGTACAGCTCTCTAGGGTTTGTATTTGTACCCAACTTTCACTTAGTCATTTCATTCCTGTTCTACAACTCTCACATGGTATAGAGCGGGTTCCCTGTGGGAACTTCGCCTAGGGCCCACCGAAGCGCGCCCCGAGGCGCGCCAACTTTTTTTTCTCTCGCTCGAGCGACCCTCCGTGTCGCCCTTCCCTCGCGGCCCCGCCGCCCTCTCTGACGCGGCCCCGCCGCCATTTCAGCCGCGGCCCCGCCGCCCATTTCGAACGCGGCCCCGCCGCCTACTCAGACGCGGCCCCGCCGCCCGCTCAGACGCGGCCCCGCCGCCTGCTTAGCCGCGGCCCCGCCGCCCGCTACAACGCGGCTCAGCTGCCTACTCACCCGCGGCCCCGCCGCTCGCTACAACGTGGCCCCGCCGCCTGCTCTGCCGGCCCCGCCGCTGCACCTTACGGCCCCGCCGTTCCCTCTGACGGCCCCGCCGTCCCCTCTGCCGGCCCCGCAGCTGCACCTGACGGCCCCGCCGTCCCCTCTGCTGGCCCGCCGCTGCACCTGCCGGCCCGTCGCTGCACCTGACGGCCCCGCCGCTGCACCTGCAGGCCCCCCCCACTGCACCTGACGGCCCCGCCGCTGCACCTGCCGGCCCGCCGCTGCACCTGACGGCCCCGCCGCTGCACCTGCCGGCCCGCCGCAGCACCTGACGGCCCCGCCGCTGCACCTGCCGGCCCGCCGCTGCACCTGACGGCCCCGCCGCTGCACCTACCGGCCCGCCGCTGCACCTGACGGCCCCGCCGCTGCACCTGCCGGCCCGCCGCAGCACCTGACGGCCCCGCCGCTGCACCTGCCGGCCCGCCGCTGCACCTGACGGCCCCGCCGCTGCACCTGCCGGCCCGCCACTGCACCTGACGGCCCCGCCGCTGCACCTGACGGCCCGCCGCTGCACCTGACGGCCCCGCCGCTGCACCTGCCGGCTCGCCGCTGCACCTGACGGCCCTGCCGCTGCACCTGCCGGCCCGCCGCTGCACCTGACGGCCCCGCCGCTGCACCTGCCGGCCCGCCGCTGCACCTTACGGCCCCGCCGTTGCACCTGCCGGCCCGCCGCTGCACCTGACGGTCCCGCCGCTGCACCTCCCGGCCCCGCCGCCCCAGCAGCCGAGCCGCCGTAGCAGCCGAGCCGCCCCAGCAGCCGAGCCGCCCCAGCAGCCGAGCCGCCCCAGCAGCCGAGCCGCCCCAGCAGCCGTGCCGCCCGAGCCGCCGAGTCGCCCGAGCCGCCCAGCAGTCGAGCCGCCGAGCCGCCCGAGCCGCCCGAGCCCTCCCTGCACTGCCCTGTCTGGTGAGCACTGAGCTTTACTCTGCGCACTGCCCTCTCTCTACTGCTGTCATGGCTACCCCCAGTGTCCTCACCTTTGACGCTGAGGGCAGAGCCATCGACTTTGACGTGTGGGTAGACGACCTACTGCTTTTCCTACAGTGCGACAAAGCTGACGGACTCTCTCTCTTTGATCTCACTTCTGGTGCCTCTCCCGCCCCTGCTGCTACTGAGGATGCCACTGTTCGCTCACAGTGGGCCACACGCGATGCTGCTGCACGTCTTGCTGTGCGTCGCCACCTCCCTCCCGCTGAGCGTGCGCACTTTGGGTCGTACAAGAGTGCTCAGACCTTGTACGACGCCGTTATTGCACGCTACTCCACCCCTGCCACTGCTGCACTGAGCCGCCTCATGCTACCGTACCTCTTTCCCGACCTTGCTGCTTTTGCCACAGTAGCCGACCTCATTACCCACCTGCGCACTAGTGACGCTCGCTTCCGCGTTGCACTTCCTGCTGAGTTCTGCGCCAAGAACCCCCCCCCCCCCCCCCCAGTACTTCACTCTCTACTACATTGTCACCCGCCTCCCTGACTCCCTTCGCGGAGTCAGGGACGACCTACTCGCAGTCTGCCCCACCACTCTCACTGTCGAGCTCCTCGAGAAGTCCCTCCTAGCAGCCGAGAAGAGCATTCTCGCTGTAGGGGCCTCTCGTGGTGACCCACGCACCCCCATCTTTGAGGGGTGTTCCCCCTCCCCCCTCCTACCCTCTGTCGCCTCTGCTGCTACGGCCGACCTTGTTGGTTTTGAGTCGGTCGGTGCGGCGTCTGCCCCCAGCGGGAGACGTCGCTCTGGCAAGAGCAAGGGGGGCAGGGGCGGTGGTGGAGGCGGCGGGGGCGGTGGAGGCGGCGGTAGAGGCAGCGGAGGAGGTGAGGGTGGTAGCGGGAGTGGTGGCGGGAGTGGCGGTGTCGAGGGAGGCAGTGGAGGCGGGGGCGGCAGCGGCGGTGGTAGTGGGGGTGGAGGCGGAGGCGGCGGTGGCGACGGCGACGGTGGGAGTGGCGGTGGCAGCGGAGGTGGTGGCGGCGGCGGCGGAGGAGGCGGCGGAGGTCGTGGCGCGTCGAGGAGGAGTGGCTCCGGTGGTGGTCAGCGCCAGCAGCAGCAGCGTGGTCAGGAGACCCTCTCCCCGCAGCAGCTCCGTGAGTGGTACTCTGCACGTCAGCGGGGTGGGGGTGCTGGTCCGGGCACTTACGTCCTGCGCACTGGCGACCGTGCGGGTGAGCAGTGTGGTGGTCCACACTCCACCCAGCGTTGCTTCGGCCGCCTGACTGACGCTTGGCGCCGCCAGTTTCCTGACGCCTCTGAGATCCCTCGCTGGGACCAGCTGTCTAGGGCGGGAGTAGCTATCTTTGATCTTGACTTTGATGCTATTCTTGCTGCCATGTATGTTGTGACTATTAGTGAGGAGGGTGACTGTTACCGGTGTTTCCCGCCCGACCCGGGCATTGGTACTGCGGCTCTAGGTGCTGTTGAGGCTGCTGCTCCAGGTGCTGGTGAGGCTGTTGCTCTAGGTGCCAGTGAGTCTGAGTCCTCAGGTGCTGGTGAGTCTGCTCTCTCAGGTACTGTGTCGGCTCCGCCCTCTCTCACTTTCACTCTTTACTCCGGGGCGTCTCGCTCCTTCTTTCGAGACCGCACCACACTCACGCCGCTTAGTCGGCCAGTGGCGGTCTCCTTGGCAGACCCCTCTGGGGGTCCTGTTCTGGCTCGCTACTCCACTGTCCTGCCGTGCCCTGCGGTCCCGTCTGGCGCCCTGTCCGGTCTCTACCTCCCCTCGTTCTCTACGAACTTGGTGGCGGGTGCTGACCTACAGGATGCAGGGGTTGACCAGTTCACCCCTGCGCGCCGACGGGTCACCCACTGCACGGACGCGGACACGGGTCGACACCTGACCACGTTCACACGTGGTCCAGGGTCGAGCCTGTACACACTCACTGTTCCGTCTCCTCCTCCTGCGTCTGGTCCGGTAGCTGCGTCGGGTCAGGTGTTTGCTGCAGCGTCCAGGTCTGGTCCTGAGTCTGCCCCCTGCTCGTGTCGCCTCCTGTCCCACGAGACCCTCCTGTGGCACCACAGGATGGGTCACCCCTCCCTGCCTCGTCTCCGGGGCATGGCCTCTCGCCTTCTTGTCTCTGGCCTTCCCCGGTCCCTCCCTCCCCTTCCTCCGGGGCCTGGCCCTCCCTGTGTCCCCTGTGTCGAGGGTCGCCTGCGGGCTACCCCTCACTCCTCCCCGTTTCCTCCGACGGAGGCCCCGATGCAGACGCTTCACATGGACGTGTGGGGCCCAGCCCGCGTCCGTGGACAGGGTCACGAGCGCTACTTCCTGCTGGTGGTTGACAACTACTCGCGTTACACCACAGTCTTCCCCTTGCGCAGCAAGGGTGAGGTCACTGAGGTGTTGATCGACTGGATCCGCGCAGCTCGTCTCCAGCTCAGGAAGAGCTTCGGCTCGGACTTTCCTGTTTTGCGTCTACACTCGGACAGAGGCGGAGAGTTCTCCTCCGGCCTTCTACGAGCCTACTGTCGGGCACGAGGCATCCGCCAGACCTTCACGCTTCCGGACTCTCCACAGCAGAATGGGATTGCTGAGCGCCGCATCGGCATTGTCATGGACGTCGCCTGTACGTCCATGGTGCATGCGGCTGCCCCCCATTTTCTGTGGCCGTTTGCGGTTCGGTACGCCGCGCATCAGATCAACCTTCACCCCCGGGTCTCTCGGCCCGCGATGTCCCCAGTCTCTCACAATAGCAAAACCCTAATTGGGTTGTACCCCCTATGGGATACCCCACTGTAGCCTACACAACAGCATAAGCTACATATATGTTCTGACACACCCCCATAGGCAAAGTGGGGGAGAACAAGGGGTCACAAGACCAGTCAAGCAAAGCAAAGCAAAGCTCAGGGTGGATCACAAAGTCACCACACAGTCCGAGCACAAGAGCAAGGCCAAAGGCCAGTTCACATGCAGAAGTACAGACATATTTATATAAAGCTAGACAAGCAAGAGCAGGTATATATATGTCACAGTACAAGTAAAGTCAAGAGGAGAGCAAGTGAGGCAAAACAGGCACAAGACCCAGCTGGGTGCAGAAGCGCTGATGGTCACAAGGCGCGAGTGCCTTGGTGAACACATCAGCAGTGTTGGCCTCAGAGGCCACGTACGCAAGCCGCAACTGTCCACGCTGCTGTAGCTCACGGGCAAGGAAGTAGCGAAGAGCAATGTGCTTCGTTCTGTGCTCCAGACGCTGCTCTCGACACAAGGCCAGCATGGCCTTGTTGTCTACGTACAGCACTGGAGGAGAATGAGGCGGCTCTCCAAGGTCAGTCAGCAGGTAGGTGAGCCAGCGAAGCTCCTGTGCAGCCATGGCCCCGGCGTAGATCTCAGCCTCACAACTGGAGCTGAGAACCGAAGACGAACGAGTAGCCCGCCACGAGACAGAGCCGGAACCAAGGCTGAAGGTGTAACCCTGTGACGACCGCTGCGTAGCCTGGTCTTCAGCCCAAGAAGCGTCCGCGTGACCTGTAAGGACCACTGGACTCCGCCCTCCAAGCACTAGCCCCATGCCCGACGTACTGCACAGGTAGCGCAATACCCTCTTCGCTGCAGCCATGTGCTCTGGTCGGTGTCTCCTAGGGGCAACATAGCGTGCAAGAATGCTCAGAGGGTATGCAACGTCAGGTCGTGTGCAGGTCATCAGGTACATGAGGCAGCCAACAAGCTCTGGGTACGGGCCACTCGACTCTACGGACTCATCCGAAGGCAGAGCTGAGAGTGAGTGGCGAGTAGACAGAGGAGTGGCCTGAGGCGAGGAGTACGTGAAGCCGAAGCGCTGAAGGACCTGCTGCACCATGTGTGACTGAGTCAAGGTAATGGTGCGGCGTGCTCTGTCCCGAGTGATCTGCAAGCCAAGGTAGCTGCGCAGTTCACCCAGGTCTGTGCACGTGTGTCTCTTCAGCAGCTCGGACTTCACGTAGGCGAGTCCAGCAGTGTCCGCTGTGGCAAAGACCAAGTCGTCGACGTACACGAGGATGTAGAACGGCGGCAGTGAAGTGTCGGTGCGCAGAAACAGCGACGGGTCAGCAGTAGAAGGAGCAAACCCAAGAGCCGCAAGCGTAGTCCTCAGTGTGTCGTGCCACTCACGCGGTGCCTGGCGGAGACCGTAGACTGGCCGTCGGAGGCTCCACTGGGTGCCAGGAGGGAAAGTCCCAGTGAAGCCAGGTGGACGGCGCAGCCAGATCTCCTCGTGCAGGCTACCCTGCAAGAACGCAGTGCTGAAGTCGAGAGAGTTAAGCTCGTAGTCGCGCTGAGCGGCTATGTGCAGCAGCACCCGAAGAGTGGTCATCTTTGGGGTGGGAGAGAAGGTCTGAAAGTAGTCAACTCCCTGCCGCTGACTGAAGCCACGAGCGACGTACCGCGCCTTGAAGACAGGTGGAGAGCCCGGCGGCCGCTTCACCCTGAAGATCCACATGCCACTGACGATGTTCGCCCCAGGAGGGGGAACCGCGTCAACGTAGGTGCCTGTGGACTTCCAGGAAGCCATCTCTGCATCCATAGCTGCCTGCCACTGAGAGGAGTAGGGACCCTCTACGGCCTCCGCGTAAGAGCGCGGAGTCGGGATGTCTAGTGCATCCGGGTCTCCCTCAGGAGCAAGCAGTACAGATGCGAGATGAGGTGAAGCAGCAGCCAGACACTGTAACTCCTCCTGCCTGTCCTCTAGGACGTCCGTGCCAAGAGCACACTCACCCCCGACGGACGGAGGACAGACAGACGCAGACTCAGCAACAAGACTAGCAGCGTAGTCTAGACGACAGCGAGCAGCAAAGTCGACGAGCTCAGCGACAAGAGCAGACGCAGCAGTGGACTCAAAGAGGGGTCAGTGACGACAGTAGCAAGCAGACGCGTGACAGTAGGACTGGCAGCACGAAGGGAGTCCGACTCAGGGTCGGCAAGCGAAGGAAGAGAGGACTCAGGAGGAGAAGGCAAAGGGGCACGCAGAGGAGCAGTGGACGGACGCAGAGACATCCGGTGCGTGCCAGGGACAGGAGGAGGACGCTGACGCGAACGGTGACCACTAGCGCGAGCAGCACGAACAGGCGACGCGGGACGAGACGCAGGCTCACGACGCTCAGCAAGACCTCCAGTAGGACCAGTGTAAGGAGAGGGGGCAGGTAGTGGGGAGGAAGGCTCCAACCGTGGCTGCGACTGGACAGGCTGTGGACACTCTACCACAGGAGAAAGACCAAGAACCTGCTGCAGGAGCGGAACGAAGTACGGCCGAGGCCGCGCGGCAGCTCCAGGCTCAGCAGGGACAGCACCAGCGCCCTCAGCGGTAGGACCTCTAGCAGCACCAGCAGCAGAACCACCGCCAGGACAGACAGCGGTAGTCTCAGCACCAACACCCCCAGCGGCGCCAGCTCCAGTAGGACCCGCAGGCCCAGCAGCTCCGGGACCAGCAGCACCAGCACCCTCGACGGTCGAAGAAGCTCCAGCTCCAGCAGCACGCCTCCAACGGCGAGCAAACCACTCACGTAGCTCCTGTGGAGAGAGGGGCTCCCGCCGAGACGCAGCACCAGGAGAAACCCCAGGCTCAGCAGCTCCAGACGCAGCACCCCCAGGCTCAGCAGCTCCAGACTTAGCACCCCCAGGCTCAGCAGCTCCCAGCACAGCACCCCCCAGCTCAGCACCCCCAGGCTCAGCACCCTCCGCAGTAGCACCCCCAGGCCCAGCATCCCCAGGCTCAGCACCCCCAGTAGTAGCACCTCCAGGCTCGGCACCCCCGCGCACAGCACCCCCAGAGTCAGCACCCCCAGGCTCAGCACCCGCAGCAGCACCAGAGTCACCAGTAACCTCGATCGGGTCTACTGCGTCTACCTGGGACACACCTGAGGGGGCAGGAACCTGAGGGGGGAGGGGGTCTACCGGGGGGGGAACCGGCACAAGGAAGTCCGGCGGCGGGGGGAGGGAAGGAGTGCGGTAGGGGAAGAGGCGGTAGAAGGGGACTGACTCGTCGAACGTGACGTCCTGGGAGGATAGAACACGACGAGAGGAGGGGTGGTAAAACTGCCACCCTGGAGCGTCAGGGGGGAAGCCAAGGAAGACACAGGGAGCAGCACGAGGGGACAGCTTGTCCGCAGACAAGTCTCGGACAAACGCCCGAGATCCCCAGACACGGAACGCCGACGCATCGCCAACCTTCCCCGTCCACAGCAAGACTGGGGACATCGCAGGCCGAGAGACCCGGGGGTGAAGGTTGAGCTGATGCGCCGCGTACCTCACCGCAAACGGCCACAGAAAATGGGGGGCAGCCGCATGCATCATGGACGTACGAGCGACATCCATGACCATGCCAATGCGGCGCTCAGCAATCCCATTTTGCTGTGGAGAGTCCGGAAGCGTGAAGGTCTGGCGGATCCCCCGTGCATGACAGTAGTCTCGCAGAAGGCGAGAGGAGAACTCTCCGCCTCTGTCCGAGTGCAGACGCAGAACAGGAAAGTCCGAGCCGAAGCTCCTCCTGAGCTGGAGACGAGCCTCGCGGATCCAGTCGATCAGCACCTCAGTGACAGCACCCTTGCTGCGCAAGGGGAGGACTGTGGTGTAACGCGAGTAGTCGTCAACCACCAACAGGAAGTAGCGCTCGTGACCTTGCCCACGGACGGGGGCTGGGCCCCACACGTCCATGTGAAGCGTCTGTAGAGGAGCCTCTGTCGGGGGGAAGTGGGAGGAGTGAGGAGCAGCCCGGAGGCGCCCCTCGACACAGGGGACACAGGAAGGTCCTGGCCCGGAGGGAAGGGGAGGGATGGACTGGGGAAGACCAGAGACAAGGACACGGGAAGCCATGCTCCGAAGACGGGGCAAGGAGGGGTGGCCAAGACGGTGGTGCCACAGGAGAGTCTCGTGAGACAGGAGGCGACAAGAACAGGGGGCAGACTCAGGACCTGACCGGGACGCAGCAGCAAGCACCTGACCTGACGCAGCTTACTGACCAGACGCAGGGACAGGAGGATACGTAGTGGTCAGGGTGTAGAGGCTCGACCCCGGCCGACGCGAGAACGTGGCCAGGTGTCGGCCTGTGCGTGCGTCCGTGCAGTGGGTCACCCGCTGACTCGCAGGAGTGAACTGGTGAACCACCGCATCCTGCAGGTCCGCACCACTCACCAAGTTCGTAGAGAACGAGGGAAGGTACAGACCAGACAGGGTGCCCGAAGGGGCAGCCGGACACGGGAGGACAGTGGAGAAGTGAGAGAGGACAGGACCCCCAGAGGGGTCAGCCAGGGAGACCGCAACCGGCCGGCCAAGCGGCGTGAGGGTGGTGCGGTCTCGAAAGAAGGAGCGAGAAGCCCCGAAGTCAAGTGTGAAAGTGAGGGAGGACGAAGGCGACGCAGTACCTGAGAGCGCAGTCTCACCAGTACCTGAGAGCGCAGACGCACTGGCACCTAGAGCAGCAGCCTCACAAGCACCTAGCGCAGCAGTACCAATGCCCGGGTCGGGCGGGAAACACCGGTAACAGTCACCCTCCTCACTAATAGTCACAGCATACATAGCAGCAAGGATAGCATCATAGTCAAGATCAAAGATCGCTACACCAGCCCTAAGAAGCTCATCCCAGCGGGGAATCTCACTAGCCTCGGGGAACTGCTGACGCCAGGCGTCCGTCAGGCGGCCAAAGCAGCGCTGGGTGGGGTGGGAACCCCCACACTACTCACCCGCGCGGTCGCCGGAACGAAGGACGTAGGCACACGGACCTGCACCCCCACCCCTCTGACGCCGAGTGTGCCACTCACGAAGCTGCTGGGGCGGAGGGATGTCCCGCGAACGCTGCTGCTGCTGCTGCTGCGGGCGCTGACCACCACCACCGCCGCTCCGCTGCTGGGTACCACCCCGACCAGCACCACCCCCTCCGCCACCACCGCCTCCTCCTCCGCCTCCTCCGCCGCCTCCACCTCCACCGCTGCCACCACCACCACCGCTGCCGCCACCACCGCCGCCTCCGCCACCGCTGCCACCACCACCACCACCCCCGCCACCACTCCCGCCGCCACCCCCACTCCCTCCGCCGCCTCCACCGCCACCTCCACCGCCCCCTCCAGCTCCACCCGCGCCCTTGCCCCCCTTGCCCTTGCCAGAGCGGCGTCTCCCACTGGGGGCAGACGCCGCGCCGACCGACTCAAGACCAAGCAGGTCGGCAGCAGCAGCAGAGGCAACAGAGGGCAGCAGGGGGGAAGGAGAGCACCCCTCAAAGATGGGGGTGCGAGGGTCACCACGAGAAGCTCCTACAGCGACAATGCTCTTCTCCGCCGCGAGGAGGGCCTTCTCGAGGAGGTCGACGGTGAGGGTGGTGGGACAGACTGCGAGAAAGTGGTCCCTGACTACGCGAAGGGAGTCAGGGAGGCGCGCGACTACGTAGTAGAGAGTGATGTACATGGGGGGGGTTTTCTTAGCGCAGAACTCAGCAGGAAGGGCAGCTCGGTAGCGAGTGTCACTAGTGCGGAGGTGCGTAATGAGGTCAGCGACAGTGGGAAAGGCAGAGAGGTCAGGAAAGAGGTAGGGAAGCATGAGACGGCTCAGTGCAGCAGTGGCAGGGGAGGAGTAGCGCGCAACTACAGCGTCGTACAAGGTCTGAGCACTCTTGTACTGACTAAAGTGCGCGCGCTCAGAGGTAGGGAGGTGGCGACGCACAACAAGACGTGCAGCAGCATCGCGGGTGGCCCACTGAGAGCGCACAGTGGGATCAGCATCAGCAGCAGGGGCAGGAGAGGCGCCAGAAGTGAGGTCAAAGAGAGAGAGGCCGTCTACCCTATCGCACTGTAAAAACAACTGCAGGTCGTCTACCCAGACCTCAAAGTCAATGGCTCGACCCTCAGCGTCAAAAGCTAGGACACTAGGGGTAGCCATGACGACGACAACGAAGCAGTGCAAGCAGTAGGGGAAGAGCACGCAGTGACAGCGGTACTGTGCTCACCGGGCAGGGCAGGTCGGGCAGCTCTGCAGAAGGGCGGCTCGGCGACTCAGCGACTCGGCTACTGGGCGGCTCGGCTCCCGGGCGGCTCGGCGACAGGGCGGCTCGGGTGCAGGGCGGCTCGGCTGCCAGGCGGCTTGGGTGCAGGGCGGCTCGGGTGCACTGCTGCTCGGTGGTCCGGCGGCTCGGCTGCTGCAGGTGGGCGGCTCGGCTGCTGCAGGTGGGCGGCTCGGCTGCTGCAGTTGGGCGGTGCGAGAGCAAGGGGCGGCGGGGCCGTGTAGCAGGGACGGCGGGGCCGTGTAGCAGGGGTGGCGGGGCCGCGTAGCAGGGGCGGCGGGGCCGCGCAGCAGGGGCGGCGGGGCCGCGTAGCAGGGACGGCGGGGCCGCGTAGCAGGTACGGCGGGGCCGCGTAGCAGGTGCGGCGGGGCCGCGTAGCAGGGGCGGCGGGGCCGCGGAGCAGGTGCGGCGGTGCCGCGTAGTAGGTGCGGCGGGGCCGCGTAGCAGGGGCGGCGGGGCCGCGAAGCAGGTGCGGCGGGGCCGCGTAGCAGGGACGGCGGGGCCGCGTAACAGGTGCGGCGGGGCCGCGTAGCTGGGGCGGCGGGGCCGCGTAGCAGGTGCGGCGGGGCCGCGTAGCAGGGGCGGCGGGGCCGCGGAGCAGGTGCGACGGTGCCGCGTAGTAGGTGCGGCGGGGCCGAGTAGCAGGGGCGGCGGGGCCGCGAAGCAGGGACGGCGGGGCCGCGTAACAAGTGCGGTGGGGCCGCGAAATAGGGGCGGCTGGGCCGCGTAGCAGGGGCGGCGGGGCCGGCGTAGCAGGGACGGCGGGGCCGCGCGTAGCAAGGGGCGGCGGGGCCGTGTGATCAGGGGCGGCGAGGGCCACCTGAGTAGGGCGGCGGGGCCGCGTTCACTGGGTAGCGGGGCCGCGAGGGTAAGGCCGGCCGCTAGGGCGGCTCGGGGAAGGAGTGGCCCGAGGCGCGACTCGGGATGAGTGCGCTTCGGGCAGGAAAAAAAAAATTCAACTGGTGGGCCCTAGGCGCAGTTCCCACAGGGGAACCTGCTCGATACCATGAGAAAAACTGAACGAGAATGAATGAACTATGAGTGAAGTGAGTACAAATAGCAAAACCCTAATTGGGTTGTACCCCCTATGGGATACCCCACTGTAGCCTACACAACAGCATAAGCTACATATATGTTCTGACAGGAAAGACGGCTTTAAGAGATTGCTGTGGCGGAAACACAGAGTGGTATTTGTTTCTGACATATCAGCGCCAAAAATTCTGATGAATCACCATAGTTAACATGCGTTTTGTCGCTGAAGAATCGCCCCCTGTGATGATACTCGCTTTCTGCCACGGAAAGGATCATATCAGGATGCAAAAACAGGAGAGAATTGGAATCGTAAAAATAACGTAAAACAAAAAAATATTCAGCACCTAAAACCAACGTGAAACAAGCTTGTGAATCTCGAGTAGAGTTGATATTGCTTCCTGCCACACAAAAGTACATGTAATAGAAAGGAATAATCATATCGATTAGAAGCGTAAATTCTGGAAAAAAAAAAAAACAAAGTGTTAACAATGAGAAATAACAGTAAGGCGCGTACTAAGCGGCTCTTATCGCAGCGCCCGTCGCAGCGCCCGGCGCGTCCCTAGGCTGCCACGACGTAGTCGCGTCCGTCGTGTCCCTTGAATGCTCGACGTAGCGCGCGTCGCGTCCCTTAGCTGCTCGCGACGTAGCAGCGCCCGTTGCGTCCTTTAGTTGCCCGCGACTACTCCAGCGCCCGTCTGTCCCTTAGCTGCTCGTGATGTAGCAGCGCCCATCCGTCCCTTAGCTGCTCGTGATGTAGCTGTTGCTGACTGTAAACGCAGCCTGCAATGAGGACAGATAGAAATGGAAAGAGGGAGAGGTAGGGGTATTTTTAAGAAAGCGCTAAAGGTAGCTAAGGTTAGAGGGCTAGTGGAAACTCTAAGATTCAACATTGAGGCAAGTAGATCTAAATGCGAAATGTCAAGAAGTGAAAAGATATATGCTGTGAGGTGAGGTTGGTGAACACCACGAGAAGGACAAAGGAAATTGAAACCCTAGCCAGATTTGACTTTGGTTTGAAGTTGATAAATTTGCGAAAGAGCCATTTGTTGTCAGATCTTGCATAGTGGTTCAGCTTGGAGTTGTGATTCGAGAGATCGAAGATCGATTCTAACTTAATCCTGCTCCTCATTTTGTTCCTTGTGAATTTACTAGTTTCGAAGTCAATAGGAAAATTGGAGTCCATAACTGCTAGCGACAATTATCGAACTTGCATCCCCAAATCCCCAAGGGCTATACTTGTCAGGTTACTTTTGGGTTGAAAAACTCACTGACCCAGAACTGACCCTGTTCTAACCACTAACCCTAATTTGATCCCAAAGAAACTTTGGGGGTATTTACAGGACAGGCTTGGGTCAGGCCGGAAGGTGGGTCACGCTAGGGTCAGAAACATTTTGGTGATGGCGGCTAAGCAAACTGGAGTGACATTATGCAGTTCATTCATCATCATATACCGTGACGGGCCCGACTCAGGTCCCACTTCTCGCCCTTCTCCCCTTTCTCCCCACGCCCTTGCGCCACTGTCCCCCGTTTCCCATTCCGCCACTACATCCGAAAAAATGTCGTTCGGAAATTCTGCGTCTACCTGAGCCACTCATCTCATATGCACCATCTCCAGCTGACTTGGTGGCTCTAGTTCTCACAAAATGCATGCCAACAATCCACCCCAACACCACTTGACCATGAAATTTGATGCAACTTGTGCTTTATATGATCAATCCTCACATGTCATATGGGGTCTTGATGGCTGCATCCAAACAAAATCACTGTTAGGTGATGCCCAGCTAAGCAAATTCCTATCCACTTGTGGTCACTTCCATCATGTGAGGGGCACATGAATCCATCCATAATATCAACAATGGGCAACTAATGATACCTCCCACAGTCATCACTGTTCAACTGCAGCACTTGACAGCATTACTGATGGTGTGCATGGACAGGAGTGTTGCAGCATTAAGGTGGGCATGAATTGCCTTTAATGCCATTGTATTTTCCTGGAATTTGCGTGGCCTTCTTTTAGCATGAGATGTAGGCGTGAATTCCAATTCCTCTACCAGTTGAGTAAAAACATTCCCCACTACAAACATTCTCTTCCCAATCTTGCTCGACATACTTCATGTCTTAGGTAAGCCACCCTCCTACCCGTTCTCCTTAGCTAATGGTGGGCCCCTCAGCCGCCTGACTCGTTCAACAACAGCAAAGATGTGAGTCGCCTATCACTGCTATTCCGCGTATGTTACTCTAGAAGCAACTCTAAATATCCATCTCAGCTCGTTTGCCAAGCGGTCCCCGAACTATCGCGGCTCGTATCATCTCTTGTTCAAACCTGACTCAGTGCCGCACCCGCCGTCACCGCCACCAAAGGAGTTCTGTATCTAGCGGCCCGTGCTTGTGACTTCCTTTTCGTAGTAAAATTCCATTATTGGGATGTCTACTAAAGCTCCTCGTGCAGATGCGTATCACTCGGTAGAGATCTCGCTCACACACACCTTCTAAATGTTATTGAGATTAAGCAGTCGCGATCTCATCCTCACGCTCGGGGTCTCATTCTCGCGGTCGATATATCTTTCTCACGGTCGATATCTCATATTATCACGGTAGCAATCTCAATCTCATGGTCCAAATTTCATTCTCCCGGTCGACATCTCATTCTCCCGGTCGACATCTCTCCCTCACGCACAAATCCTCTCGCTCACGGTCTAAATCTCTATCTCACGGTCGAAAGCTCTCTATCTCACGGTCGGAATCTCTCTATCTCACGGTCGAAATCTCTCTCTCTCTCTCACGGTCGATCTCTCTGTCTCTCTCTCACGGTCGAAATCTCTCTCTCTCTCTCTCTCTCTCTCTCTCTCTCTCTCTCTCTCTCTCTCTCTCTCTCTCTCGAACGGGCCTTGGTATTAATGTCAGCAAGGTACACACATGGTAAGGCTACAGCAATCTCACGGCAAGGCTACAGCAAAACAGCAGCTAACCCCGCACTATCCCAGCCCCAGCCCCCCCCTCCCCGCCCGGCCCTAATGGCCGGAGGGGTCTTCTATCAACTGATACAGCTGCCCTTCACTCATTGGAGTAAACGGGCCCTGCAGGCCGAGCGCATCCGCCGTGAGGGCCTCATGGGTCTTATCCCTGAGGGCAGTGGCTTGCGCTCTCTGCAGGGTCACACTCCACCGCTGCCGGTACTCGGTGAGTAGCTTGGCGCATTCCCTCGACTTGGGGGTGGCGTTGAACCGCCGCATGGCCGCTAACTCCGCGCAGCTGCGAAGGAATTCCAGGACTCCACTCGAGGGGTAACCGTAGGTCTCAACCGCCAAGGCGTAAAAGCCCACCCAAGCGCTCCGCCTGGCGTATTTGCTTGCCTTCTTGTCCGCCTGCATTCTAGCAGCCCAACCGGGAGCTTTACGGGCGTATTCATCCTGGTGGGAGACGGGGTCCGTGACCGTGATGTCACAGATCCACACTTCACCGGTGTCGGGATGGCGGATAGAGATATCCGCTTTGAGGTTTTCGACCGGTGAGTAAGCCGTTGTCTCCTTATGCACGTTGAAGCCCGCTTCCGCAGCTATCTTTGCGCACTCGTCCCGAAGGGCATTGTGGGTTGCAATTCTCCCCCCCCCTTTCTCGCACCGCATCAAATGGTTCGGTAGGCGGTCGTCGGGGAATGTGGTGCGGTATCTGCAGTCGCAGCGCCTTGGCACAGGTAGGGGGAGGCCTAAGCGGAAGGAGGCCGCTGTGGAGAACTGAGAGGGCCCGAGGCGGAGGGAGGAGATCAGCGGGACGGCGAGCAGCCAGTCCCCTGCGCCGGGGCCCAAGAGGGACTGCAGCCGCTGCGTGTGTCCGAACAGTGGGTTGA